CCCCACTCCCAAAGCATTAACGCAAGAATTGTTCGAAAATGGGTTTTAAGGGAAAAAATGAACAGCGAATCAATTGAACAATAGTGATCAGACAGTTACTGGATTTGAGCTGAATAAAATGGAGTACAAATATGACCTGCTATCTTGCAGGACAATAATTGGTGTCTAACTTATAATTAATTTACAACAAATGGCATTCGTTTGGCACCATTTTATCCCTAATCTTGGCACTATAATGGGCTACATTAAGAAAGTAGGGAAACTAAGTTGTGATCCGTTTATGGCATATGTTGAACAAATCTGATTACTTTATGTATTTTATCCCCCTCTTTTTTTATTTCTTTATTTTGGGCATCCTTTAAGCCTTTCATTCAATTTCACTCTATTCTTCCTCTCTCTCTATGATTGAAGGACACTATGGCAACAATAACATACTCATATGCAATTTCATATTGTACGAGTACTGTGCAAAACAAGTCTAACATCTTAATTCAGAACTACAATTTATATGAGATTATTTTTGCCTGCATTTGTTATACCGTTTTCTGTAGTTGAAAGTAAGTAGACTTGATGAACTTTTCAACGTCCAATTTTTCAAAGTAGCATCACCGAAGGCATTACGATGAAAATAACTAATTGGAGAACTATAAGAAATTTCATGAAAAACAACCAAAACTAACATAGAGAAGAAGATAGCAGGGCTACTCATGTACTAATATGCACATACCATGTGTCAGTATCCAACTGACTAAGACCAACAATTGCAAGAAGCTTGCATATTTCTACTATCTACATTCTACAAAGTCCTAAAACAGGAAACTACCCAAAAGTCTTCTTGCTATTTACAAATTTATAAATTATAAGCTAGGAAAAACATAGTTATGCTTCATTGTCATACTCATTTGAACAAATACTGAGATCGTCCAAACTACTAAACTCACCTAAAAGAGATCCATAGTTATCAATGATTGGTAAGCCTAGTTGGAGAGAAAATTTGACAGCCCTATCACCTGGAAGTTGGACCCATTGTCCCATCCACAAATCTTCATCCTCTTGACCTGCTTGCTTCTCCCCTGCACTAGAATCAGTTGGATTGCTTTGCAGCTCAACATTCTTTGAGCTCTGAAAATCGAATTTCTTAGACTGATCAGCATGGAAAGCTTCTTCAGTAGGGCTTACAGTCCCCAACAACATTTTTGCCATACTAATGGGGTTTGTAATTTCAGAAATATATTTTCCTGATTTTCTCTTTTGAACCCCCATGGAGTGGCTTATTTTGTGAAAATCAATCCCCTGGTCACTTCCTTCATTAGATGAATTTGATATTGGAACATCAATTCCTGAGGATGAGGCTCCACCAGCTGATTCGGACTGAAATTCTTCATGATTTACAATTTCATGTCCTAGCATGACATTGACTAATTTCCTTTTTCCATCCTGCTTCTCCCTTGCACTAGATATTTGCTTATTGCACTGCTGCTTTGCCTTGAGTAGTTTCTGAAACTCGAGCTTCTTAGATTGATAAGCCTGGGAAGCCTCTTCAGCAGTACCGTAAGTCCCTAACCAAATTCTTTTCTTGCTAATTGTAATCTCAGAACTATAATTCCCTGAATCTCTCTTGCGAACCCCAATGAAATGTGTTGTTTTGGGAGAATTGCTTCCTCCATTTCTACTTACACCAGCAGTATTTAAGGATTGATCGTTAGCCATGGGAGATAATGCTCCACTAGATGATTCAGGTTCAAATTGTTCACAATTCTTTGGTTCATTTCCTTGTTTTCCCTGATTTAGTTTCTCAAACTCTGACTTCTTGGAGAAATAAACTTTTGAAGCTTCTTCAACGGTGTCAAAAGTGCCCAGCCATACTTCCTTATGCCTAGTTGGGTCTGTAATCACAACACCATACCTCCCGTTCTTTTGCCTTCGGACTCCAAGTAAGCTTCTCTTGGCTTTAGGATTGCTTGTTACACTATTACACTCATCAGATGATTCAGGCTGAAGTTGTTCACAACTCTTTGGTTCGTTCCCTTGTTTACCCTGGTTTAATTTCTCGAACTCACAATTCTTGGAGAAATAAGCTTGCGAAGCTTCTTCAACAGTGTCAAAAGTGCCGATCCATACCTTCTTATGCCTGATTGGATCTGTGATCACAGCACCATACCTCCCAGTTTTCTGCCTGCGGACTCCAATTAAGCTTCTCGTGGCATTAGGATTGTCTCTTACGGTATCACACCCATCAGACAATTTTGCACCTTGAACATTATCCATTGAGCACGTGGTTTCTCTAGAAGATTTTTCATGAATTACGGGTCCTTTACCTTGCTTTACCTTTACTAACTTCTCCATTTCTTGCACGTTCGAGCAAAAGCCTTTGGCGGGCTCTTCAACAGATTCAAGTGTATCCAATATCTTCTTTTTGTTAAAAGGGTCTTTACTCACAGAATAATATCTTCCCATATTTTGCCATTCAACTACAAGTAAGGGACTTTTTATGAAGGAAGTGCTTCTTTCATTACTATTCCCGTCAGTTTGATTCAAACTCTGATTACCAGTCACTGCAGATGTGGCTACAGCAGATGATTCAAGCTCAGATTCTTCACATGTTATCGATATGCTCCCTTCTTTAATCATTACTAGTTTCTCTACCTTGCCCTTCTTAGAGAAATCAACCTCGGAAGCATCTTCAGCAGTATCAAAGTTCCCCAAAAAAACATCCTTTTTCTTAATAGGGTCTCTCAGCAAAGAACGACACCTTCCTGATTTTAGCCTTTGGACTTTGCTTAAGGGTCTTTTGCCATTAACCTTGGCTAGTCGTGCAAATTCAGATTGCTTCACCAAATAAGCCTTGGAAGCCTCTTGAGCGGTATCAAAGGTGCCCAACCATACTTTCTTATGCCTAATTGGGTCTGTAATCACAGCTCCATACCTCCCGGTTTTCCGCTTGCGGACTCCAAGTAAGCTTCTCCTGGCTTTAGGATCACTTGCTACCATATAATTACAATGATCAGATGATCTTGGGCTATGGACATTAGCCGTTAAACATGAGGTTTCTTTAGAAGATTCTACATGAATTAAGGATTCTTTCCCTTGCTTGATCATACCTAGTTCCTCATATTCGTGCGTGTTAGAGTCAAAGCCTTTGAATGCCTCTTTAACAGATTCAAGAGTACCCCAAGAATGCTTACATTTTTTTCTTAATCTGGCAGAACGATATCTCCCCATGTTTTGCCATTCAACTCCAAGTAAGGGTCTTTTCTCATGCATGAGTTGGGGATTGACAACAATCTTGATGACTAGTTGTGCAGCAAATTCACAATGTACTAAAGGTGCTCAACCAAACATGAATTGGGTCTCTAATTAAGCAAACCCAAAACTATACTGTCCAAGCGATTAGGTTGGAAAAGATTGGAGTTTACCTTGTCAACAAAAATCTTCAGAGATACCAAGCTCAAACTGACGATTTCCTTTGTTGACTTTCACTGGCAGATGAAACTGCAGCATCCGCTTCGGAGATTACAACAAGGGCGGCTGGAGGGTTAAGCAAGTGAGGCCCTTGTTTTAGGGCACTCAAAAATTGGGGGCCCCGAATATTGTTAGTAATTATTTTTGCGGAAAATTTAAGGACCCGTTTGGTCATAGATTTTGCCAAAATAAATTTGGGTTTTATTTGGCAAATACATGTTTGGCCATAAATTTTGCCTATATTTTGGCAAAATCCCAAATCTCAAATCCCAAAACCAGCTCAATGGGCCAAATATTTACAAATACTAATAATAACATACATGTTTTTCCAAAATAAATTTGGGAAATATGTTTTGAAAACGTTTGTCCAAACATATTTTCATGTTCAAACCAAACTTCGCTCAAATCAGATTTTTCAAAACAAATTTGGGAATCTATGGCCAAACGCTAGCTAAAAATGGCCAAATTTTCGCCTGGTCAATCAAATTTAGCCACATAATCAAAAGTCAACGATATTTAGCCGCGAATTAGCACGGTAACAATTTGTTGACTAAAATACGCTTACGCTGTTTATCAAATTTACGCGACTTGACCTTATATTCTTCTTTAGAACAAACTTACGGCGGTAATCTGCAAATCGAATTAAGCTCTCTTAATAAATTTTTCGATCACTTAGTGGCTACAACATCATATTCTTCTTCGAATTAAGCTCTATCAATCTTGCGGCGTGAATCTCGAAATCGAAATAAGCTCTCTCAAATATTTGTCTGGTTATTTGAATTTATCTTGTTTGAATTTATTCTCGATTCTTCTATTTGTAATTCAAACCAGACAAATTCAAAGTAATATATTTGTGTGTAGAATCATAAATTTTTTTTGATTCTTCGAATTTTCTGGTTTGATTTTAATGCTTTAATCTGTGTTAATATCTAATTTTCTCAATGCGTTAATCTCTGCTTCATTGTATTATATACCTTCTTTTCTGTAATTTAGATCGTAACTAATAAAATCTACACTGTTCCAAACCAGAAAAAATAATATTTGCAAAACATAACGCCAGTATAATTTGCTGGACCTTTCTAAATTAATATCTAAACCTGACATACTTCCAGCTTTTTATACTGGAAATATCTAATAAATTAGTTTTACAGTGCTTGATTCCAAAAATGAACAAAACACAAGTATAATATAGCGGAGGTTTGGGAATTAATTTGCAAAACTCAAAATACTCCAATGTATTACACTGGAAGTATATTTCATTCAAACTACTATATGTCAAATCAATAAAGTCTGCAGAATAAAATGGCACACAATATAACGCCAGTATAATATGCTGGAGATTTTTGAATTAATGTCAAAATCTAAGATTTTTCCAGCTTATTATACTGGGAATGTTTATACTGGAAATATCTAATAAATTAATTTTATAGTGCTTGATTCCAAAAATGAACAAAACACAAGTATAATACAGCGGAGCTTTTGGAATTAATTTGCAAAACTCAAAACACTCCAATGTATTACACTGGAAGTATATTTCATTCAAACTACTATATGTCAAATCAATAAAGTCTGCAGAATAAAATGGCACACAATATAACGCTAGTATAATATGCTGGAGATTTTTGAATGAATGTCAAAATCTAAGTTTCTTCCAGCTTATTATACTGGGAATATCTGTGATTCAAATAATAACACGCATTCACAAGTATAGTATACTGGAGCTTTATGAATTAATATGAAAAACTCATAAAACTCCAATATATTATACTAGAAGTATCTTTTATTCAAACTACTATAAAAATTGTAAATAAAATGGTATAGGATTAAACACCAGTATAAGAAACTGGACTTTGTTAATTTAATATATAAACTTTAGACACTTCCCGTATATTATACTGAAAGTATAATATACTGGAAGTATGTGTGACTCCAGGAACCCCAGTATAATAAGCTGGAATTTGCTTAATTAATATGAACAATTCAAGTAATTCCGGCTTATTATACTGGAGTTTATTTTTTAACAATGTAAATCTAAATATCTAATTATTTGATTCATTAAATACAGGATGCACACAAATTTCTTGGTTATCGCATTCGATGGGAAATGGACAGCAGATTACAAGTACTTAGACCATAAAACAAAGCTTCTCCTTATAAATGATGGGACTACATTTGAAGAATTCATGAGCAAAATTTTCCAAGTTATGGAGATCGACAACGATAAGTTTGAAGCAAAAGTATGACTTAATATTAACCTAGGTTGTCACGACCCAAACCCCCGCACAGGTCGTGATGGCGCCTCTCGTGAAGACGAGGCCAGCCAACTAACACAACTCGTCTTTTCAAAATAATTAAACATTAATAAGCAATTAAAACATGATTTAATGATATAACTAACGGAAGCACAAACCCGACACAGCCCTAACCGGGGTGTCACAAGTCACGAACGTCTATTAGAGTGTAAATCCAACTACAAGGTCTTAAAATATACAAAACCGGAATAGTGAACAAAGAGAGAAAGGCGGTGCTGCGAACGCTGGCAGTCACCTCGTTAACTCCTATAACTCTGCCACTGATCAGCCAAAACCCGCTACCGGGTGAATAAATACCTGCATCTGCACACGAGGTGCAGGGAGTAAAGTGAGTACTCCAACTCAGTGAGTAATAAAGGTAAATAACAACCGATCAGTAAGAAATCACGTAAAGCAACCAACATGCTATATAGAAGCAGGGTACAATCCTTTGAGAAAACAGTGAAGCTGTGAAATCTTTAGAAATATCTTGGCTCAGTTTAAAACTCCTTTGAAAATAGTCTTTTCAACAGTTGCGAAATAATTTCAAAACAGCTAGTGCCGATATGCACAGAATCCGCCCCTCGGGCACAAATACCACAGTATAACAAGTAAAGACAAGTAAGTATGCAAGATGAGCACATAAAAGCTCTCCCCTCGGGCAATATCTCAAAGCGGTACCAGCCCCTCGGGCTACCTCATAGTCACTCATATCAGCCCCTCGGGCTCACTCTAAGAAACACTCGTATCAGCCCCTCGGGCTCAGTATCAATCACTCAGCATAATGGGTACCCGCGCTCACTGTGGGTGTGCAGACTCCGGAGGGGCCCCTTACGGCCCAAGCGCTATATCAACATAAGTCCTGAAAGCCTTCTCACATCACTCATAAGGCCTGAAAGCCTCCTCACGTCACTCAAGCCACCTCGTGGCATATAAATGTATCTCAGGCCCTCGGCTTTATATCACTCAGCATATCCTCACATATGGCCCTCGGCCTCACTCAGTCCGAAAATCATCACAAGCCCCTCGGGCATTTGTAAAACAGTAGTTCTCAGCCCAAAAATATCATTTAGAAATATCATTAAGTTTCAAATCTGAGTAAAATTGGCTGAGTTTGTAAAACAGTGGATCTCAACAGGACTAAGTTCAAATAATGCGTCAAAACAGTGAGGAAATAGTGATAAAAATCCCTGAAGGGTTCAGATAATTGGCACGAAGCCCAAATATGGCAATCAGCCCAAATCATGATAATAACAAATAAGTTTCAGTCAAATACGCGGTAAAATCATCAATCGGGACGGACCAAGTCACAATCCCTCAACGGTGCTCTACCCCACGCTCGCTATCCGGCGTGCAAGTCACCTCAATATAGCACTACGATGTGCAATCCGAGGTTTCAAACCCTTAGGATATCATTTACAATCATTACTCACCTCGAACCAGCGAAATCTCTAGCTCGCGACGCCTTTGCCTCTCAAATCGGCCTCCACGCGTGTCGAATCTATCCAAAATCAGAGCGAATACATCACAATAGGCTAAGGGAACAATACCCAATCGAAAACAATCAAAAAATATCAAAAATCTCGAAATTAGCAAAACCCGAGCCCCGGGCCCACTTCTCGAAACTCAGAAATTTTTACATCAATACGTTCCTTATCTCCTCACGAGTTCATACATACCAAAATTTCTCAAATCCGACCTCAAATGGTCCTTCAAATCCCCAAATCAAATTTCAAAAATCTCAAGCCCTAGTTCTTCAATTTTAGGCTTAGTTTCCATGAATTTCTAGGTGGATTTCACAATATAATCAAGTTTTAAGACCAAGATTCTTACCTCAAGTCGATTCCTCTTGAATCCCTCTTTCATCTCCTCCAAAAATCTCCAAAACGAGCAGCCATGGGTGAAATAGACCCAAAATTTCGAACAAGGTGACTTTAAAACATTCTGCCCAGCTTCAGGATTTTCTTCATCGCGAACGCGGTCCAACTCTCGCGAACGCGTAGCACAAAATTACATTGACCAACTTTTACCTTACGCGAACGCGACGAACCAGAATGCGAACGCGATGCCTGATCCGATTAAACCTTCGCGAACGCGGTATCCATCACGCGAACGCGTAGCTTCCGCTTGCCATACCATCGCGAACGCGAAACACAAAAGGGCCAGGACCCCAGCTGCTCTATTTACACTACGCGAATGCGGGAAACACATCGCGTTCGCAAAACACTCTGGACCTCACCCCTTTGCGGACGCGGGACCAACATCGCGAACGCGAAGGCAAAATTCATAGCCTCCTCATGCATCCCTTCGTGAACGCGAGAGCCTTCTCGCGAACGCGAAGGCCAAAAGTCTGCAACAGAAACTTCAGAAAATCTGCAACTTCAAAATACCAACAATGGTCTGATCGACCCTCCGAAACTCACTCGAGGCCATCGGGACCTCAACCAAAAGCACCAACATATCCCAAAACCTCATTCAAACTTGTTCCAATCATCAAAACACCTCCAACAACATCAAATTACTCAAAACACATCGGATTCAAGCCTAAGTTTTTCAAAAACTTTCGAAACACGCATTCGACCAAAAACCCAACCAAACGACGTCCGAATGACATGAAATTTTGCGCACACATCACAAATCACATAACGAAGCTACATCAACTCTCGAAATTCCATTCCGACTCCCGGATTAAAATCTCACCTTTCAACCGGAAATCCCCAAAATACTAACTTCGCCAATTCAAGCCTAATTTTACACCGGACTTTCAAAACCAATTCCGATCACGCTCCTAAGTCATAAATCACCCAGCGAAGCTAAC